AATTGGAGCACAACCAGAACATCCTTTAAAGCCAACTGCTGCTGCCTCAAGATGGCATCACTGGTGGAAAAGCACCCCTTGGCAGCGCTCCTGTCCGTGCCCCCGTCACACACCCTATTGCAGGGATCTTGAAGTTATCGGCTAAACTTCTATAACAGTTGTATGAAAACGTTTACAGAACCGGTCCATCTTAATTATTTGCCTGGCGGTCTGCTGACGTCACGAACACAAGGGTGGTTCTGCTACCGTATTCGAGTATAATGACAATGGGCACGTAACGGCTATGCGAAAGGATGGAGTGGAGTTTCGGATTGTTGATGAGCAGGTATAATTTTTCTCAGTAAAATTTCTGGCACCATTAACCTGGAGAGCACAAGGTTAGAGGGTTAAAGGGCTGCAGAACTGTTATGATCACAATGGAAATGAGGTTTGCCTAAGCCTGAGGGGGGAGGACGAGCTTCGGGGTGAATGAACGAATTTCGAGTACGCTAATTTTAATCGGATGATCTGAATTCCGGTTTCGCCCTTTGAGCCGTTTAAATGCCCCCACAAGGCTGTTAGCGCCGTGTTTCTTTTGTAGCTCCGACCCTGGAGACTGCGAAGCTGGTGATAAATTCCATATTTGAAATTCAGTAATTTCAAGGGAAAGAGAAAATAGCAGAATTCAAATATCTTTTTTCTTTTTTTTCGTGAAGGAAAAGAGGTGTTCTGAAGCGCCAGTCACACCCATCATGTGGGGCGAGTCAGACACAGCGCTGGCGTCGCGTAGCGGCCCCTGTGCCTATCTTAATTGTGCGGTCCTCTCGTGCGTGATTACAATACAAAAACCCGGACAGGAGCGCCAGCGAGTGTGGCTAATCCACTTCCACCAAACCCATACGGACGTGGTATTAACGAGGGTTGCATGACGAGGTTTTAATTGGTAGATGTGGTTTTTACTCTGGAAGTCGCCATGTGTTTGAAATACTTTGTGCCACATGGTGGCCAGCAGGGATCTCAAAGCATTTCTGCCTTTGAAGTTCCATATTCAAACTGGGAGGTAAAGACCCAGTCCACGCTGATTATATGGGCGGAGCCAGTTGGGCATTGTGCCTTCCCCATTGGTGCGGTATTTCTAAGAAAAAAAAAGAGTGTGCGCGCACCATGTGCGGCACTACGAATTCTGCTAAATGGGGTTTTCTCAGATCCGAAATGGCTGCTGATTCAGCGTATCGGAGGAGGTCGGGTGACGGACGAATGGCTCGAAATAGGGTTCCCCTCCCACTTCACGATCAGCGACCCTCTGAAGTGGCCTTTGTGAGGTTGTTTGTCTTTCCCTTCTCTCACAAATTCGTCGCTAACATGAGAGTATTCATTACTTGGTCCGCTGTTCGGGTTGGGAGGGACATTTGGCACGTTTGCTGGTTTTCTTCTTTTGCTTAGTTTCCTGCTTGGTTGAAGGGATCATTTTTGCAGCGTTTTGCCGGTTTCTTTTGCTAGTTCCTCTTGAGTTACACGTCACACTTTGGTTACACCTGTGGACTACTATCAAAGCATCCGAACAAGAATTTACAGGTTTACACAGGTACCATCGGCAGTGATCGATGAGGAAGCACCTGAATGCCCCCACCAAGCCAAACTGCGCCCTTCACTCTTTTCACCAATAACTATCTTTCAGACTCATCCTCATCACGTATCATCTACATGGATGACGGCTTCTCTGTGTCACATGGTGGTATGACGTCGTTGTTGGATGCGCACACACATCCGGCACACGGTGAAAGCAGTGTACTGAAAATGAAAACTACCCTTGATGCGCTACAGGTACCTTATCTTGGCTCTCAGCCAATATTTCATTGGTTTTCATAGAATCAATTTCAGTTAGAGCTCGTTCATACTTCGCGATTCCGATCGCCTGGATCGCGCGACTACGATCGGATGGAGGCGCTCCACCTCCAGTCGATAGAACTCAAATTGGGTCGCGTTCATGCACTGTAAGAACGCGCCTAATTGAATTGTGCCGTTACGGCGGTCCACCAATTGACAATAGAGCGCCCCGGGTCGTGGACGCGCGACCCAAGCAGTCGGATCGCGTACTATGAACAGCCCCAAGGAAATGTCATTCATTCATTGCTCTATATCACATTCAGAATCCGATTCGTCGTCCGCTAACGTCACGCTTCGACTGGCGTCCATTCGTGAAACGTGGTGGAGCTGAGCGCCGAATCGCTGAGGTTGGCGCTCGACCCAGGGTCAGTCGAGCAGAGGATGATGGCCTAAGAACTAATT